TTAGCTTAATATGTAGTTAGAGAGAAAAAATTTAATACTATAACCGTTATCACACAACTAACTAATACTCAATAAATTATGCTTTAAGCCTTCTAGAAGTAAAACATTCTCAATGAAAAAATTATTCAAGTTTCCAATCATACTTTTGCCAACCACTGTCTTAGTGGTATTATCTTCCAGTATAACCTTGCCTCCATTTCTAGCTTGCAGCGATATGAATTGTGTATTGTCTCCAGTTAAATGCTTCGAACATCCACTATCCAGGTATCAAATGCTCTCACAAGATCTTATATTAGAGTGTTTCTATAAGATACTCAAATGTTAGTCTTGGGAACCTAAAAAAGTTTGGGTTCTCCTTTTAGCAAAATTAAACTAGATGCGTGTATGATATGACTTGTTTTATGCATCTTAGGTCTCCATACTAAATGAGTTTTATTATGAATAGTACAAATGTGTGAGACATGCCCTAATAATCCACAAGAAAAATATTTCATTCCAAGAAAATGATTTTTAATTTATGTGAGTAAACTTGTCTTTCCTAGGTTTTAAAATTTTTGTCTTTTTATAAGGATTAAAAAATTGTTCAGATGTTGGTGGAATTCAATTTTTTTCAAGTACTTTCAATTGAGCTTTAAAAAATGTGTTTGCACTTTCTAACACATCAATATCAATTTTCAAATAATGCTCTCTATTATCATATTCATTATAAAAGTTTTAAAATCATTTTTAGATTTAGTGTGGGATGATTTTAATAGTTTATGTTATTTTTTTAATTCATCATATTCATCCAATAGTTTCATGTGATTGTTATCAATCAGTGTGTGATCTTTCCTAAATATTTTATGCTCCTTTGTAATTCAAGAAAATCCAAATTCAACCTAGCAAGCATCTTTTAAGTTTTTTATATGCCGTTTGAATGTTTTCAGAAACATCAAATAACTCATCATAGGTTAAGTCATATATCTCTTCTTGATTTGATTGATCAAGCTTGTCAGCCATCAAGTACAAATTTATAACTTCTTCCTATACCTCTATTTTTGAAGAGTCTGAAGCTGAGTCCACCCAAAAAGCTCTCTGCAATCTATTCTTATCCTTTCTTACATGTATTTTCTCTTCGACCTTCTCCTTGGTAGAATTGGCTTTAAGATTAAGGCATTCAGATTTGATGTGCCTAGGCTTCCTGCATTTTTAGAAAATTACATCATTAGAAGCCTTAACATTTTATGGAACATATGTTTATTCCACTACTGACATCTCCTTTGCTTCCTCTTTAGAAAACTCCTGAACTGTCTTGTCATCAAAGCAATGCCATATTTATCCTCAAGTTGAGACTGATCACTTTCTGAGTCATCCACTTTCAATGCTATGTTCTTCTCCTTTCACTTCTCTTATGCATCAATCTATTTTTGATTAACTCATTGCTCATAAGCAGTTAATGATCCAAGAAGATTGTCAATAGAATAAATAATTAAATCCTTAGACTCTATAATAACAGTTATTTTTACATCATAAGCAGTAGGCAAACAATGAAGTATTTTATTCACTTTCTTTGCATTCATTAATTCCCTACCTAAAACATGTAAGGAGGTGACTATTTGAGTGAAACATATGTACATGTCAATGATCAATTCATTTGGTTTCATACAACACAGTTTATAATCATACAATAAAACATTTTATCTATATTTTTTCACTTCATTAATCCCTTCATATGTGATACATATTCTATCTCAAATTTTTTTCCACTTTTATAGGTAGAAACACACATGTAGTCTTCAGATTTAAGTGCACGGAAAAAATTGTTCAAAAATTTTGTGTTTAACTAAGCTAAGTCTCATTCTTGTACAGTCGAATCAGCAAATGGTGTTTTAGTTCTAATGACATCTACAAGTCTAGTTGGCCTAGAGTATCCATTAAAATCCATATGAGATAATCAAGAAATTAAAGAAAAGTAGACATTCTTGTTTTCCAAAAATTAAAAGGGATGTTATCAAACAATGGGGGTCTAGTGATTGAATATTCGTCATGTGTGTTATGATTTCAAAAGTAGTCACGATCATTTTCAAAAAGTTGTTTAAACCTTAATTTTTTAAAAATGTCTCTGATACCACTTGAAAAGTATGTATAAGTTGTTAGATCTATAACAATTATTCCATTGATAACTAAGAGGGGGTGAATTAGTTATTTTAAAAAACCTCTTATAAATTTATGAAAATTGATTTATAATTTTTATACAAATAAAACTTTCAAACACAAAAATAAAAATTGTAGGAAAATTAAAAATGCAAAAAAGTAAAAAGAATATAGTAATTTATAGTGGTTTGCTTCAATAAGACCTAAGTCCACTTCCTGAAGACTCCACAAATAAAAACATAGTTATAAAAACTAAGTTGCAACTTCCACTATTATTTAAATAAATTACAAATAAATGATTTTATCTTGTTGAGGATGATCAGATTACAATAATCAACTATCAGATTAAAATCTAGTTATGAGTTGAGATCAGACAGAAATCCTGTGAAGTTCAATGGTAGGGTAAAAATTCGGCTTCAGTTGGTGGTCAAGTAGAAGTCTGGCATCAATCGATGTTCGAGCAGAAGTTTGGCATTAGTCGGTGGCTGTGTGGAATTTTGGCATCAGTTGGTAGCCAGGTGAAAGTCCATCATTGGTCGAGGAGCAGTTTGGATGCAAGAGAAATTTAGTTTCTCGCTTCCTACTCTTGCTTTTCTTTCTTGCTTGCATCCCTTTTCAAGAGGAATGAGGGGTCTACTTATGAATTTTTTAGAGTGGCATAGTTAGTAAATAGGAGGGACAACAAGGGTAAGTTGGGAGTGGTTTGAATGGACTGTCGATGTTGATCCCCTTAATCACGAATCATTTGCCAGATATTTTAATGTCTTAATGATCAGAATTTGGCAATTTTGTCCTTATTGGATTGATTTTGTTGAGCCGCTCAATTTGACTATAAGCATGTTACATTTTAAAATTGTTTGACCATCAAATATATAATTTATGAATGTTTGTTAGGGATGTTAAGCACTTATGAACCAGCCCAAGCTAATCAAGAGAGGGGTGAATTGGTATTTTAAAAAATCTTTCAACCAAAAAACAAAATCTTAACCAAACTAAAATTCACCACGAAGAAATCATGCGGAAATTATATGCAGAAAAAAGCAGTAGAAAAGAAGAAAAAAATTATAGTGGATCAGACAATTCGAGCTACATCCACTCCTCGGAGGCACCCTCTGAGTATTGCACTAAACTCATTGACTCTCCTATTTCTCCCACAGTAGGGCGGAGAAGCCTGTACAAAACCTCCTTTCTATTGACATCGGTGAGGCAAAGAATCTAACTCCTTTTGCTTCCTCCTGAAGCAGGCAAAGAACATTGATCGATTATTTAACTGAACCTCTCTCGAACCTCCAAGAATAGGGGACGACGATCAGAGAAGACAACTTGGATCCTTGCTTGGAGAAACCTTTGTGAAACCTCTCATAAACTCCCCCTCATAAGATCCTCTCTCTCTCTCCCTTTCTCTCCCTCTCCTTTAGGCTCTCTCAGGTCAAGACAACAGCAAAAGATGAGCTCTTGGGTAGAACAAGAGCTCTTAAATATAAGAGTTTTGAAATAACTCTTATTTTATGCAAACCGACTTTATACACATCATCCTGGACTATCAGAATAAATTTTACTCAATTAGCTAGGACAGTTTGGGATGATCAAAAGATTTTTGTTCATATCGTCCAGACCGATGTAATATAATCATGTACAATCAGTACAAATCCTTAAATATCGTCCAGCCAATCACACTGAATGGATGTCTAGACGATGAAAAAATAGCTTGATTGTCCAGGTCAATCTCACAATCATCTCAGATGATTAGTTTAAATCCGTGAAAAATGTCCATACCATTGCCTTGAAGGCAGTTGGCCGATGAAGACTGTCCAGGAACAACTAAGGTTTTTTGAACTGATCATCTCGGCCGATCCTGCGATTGTCCAGGATCATTGGATCGAGTAATCAAAATCTTAATTGCTTTCTTTAATAAGCAGATTAATTTTTTCATAATTGTGTTGCATCGTCTAGGACAATGTCATGGAAGATGTTCAAAAATAAATAATACCTAAAAAGATCTGGCTGCTGATTCTTTCTGATTTGAGCCTATCGTCCCGGCCTATACAAATATCATCTAGGACGATGATCTTAATGATGGCTACCTTAGCTAGGATGCCCTAATTAGGGTTTTTGTTTTTAACAGATCGGTCAGGACGATGTTTGGATCGTCCCAGATGATGTGATCAAAATAGAGAACTCTAACCAATAGTCAAAAAATTTTCCCTCATGTGTGTGTGTGCAAGGTTACTCAGCATCATGAACCACATCGTTTACAATAAACTCAAGAAAGGGAAAAATTTATAAACTGACTCAGACCTAATCTACCCAAGCTTGAGCTAGCTTGAGTTGCACTTGATCTTATGGACCTGAAATGTTAGTGGTTAAGGCAGTCATTGAAAAAATATGAATGTTTGTTATCATCAAAATTCTAATCCATAAAATCAGATTTGTAACAATCTCTCTCTTTTTTATGATGACAAATCAAAAAATAATCTAAGCAATTCAAGGCAGTTTAATGGAAACAGATCAACTATCCAATAACAGAATCAAACTATAAAATAAATAGTACAACTAACTACTCCCCCTTTTGACATCACAAAAAAGGAAGAGGGAAACTAGAAAAGAAATAAAGAAAAGACTACCAAACAAAATCAAAATACAAGAACAAAATAACATAAAAAACTAAAAGAATGATGGCCCCTGATCATCTGAAGGAGGTGGTGGTGGAGGTGGATGTGGCTGAAAGAACTCAAAAGAGTGGCAAACTGCTCTTCAAACCAGGCCATATCTTGGTCGTGCTGATATTGCAAGCGAATAATGTCCTTAGTATATTGTTGCTCCTACGTAGCAACGTATGCCTTGAAGCGAAGCTCCCACTGGTCGAATCACTCCACCAACTGATCCAGCTGAGCGTGCTGGCAGAACAGAGTATGTGCAGGAACAGGTGCAGGAGTAGATGTAGGAGATGCATCTTCCTCAGCTTCCTTGTGCCTCGGGTGGAGACGAGTACTGTGAAGAACATTGAAGGAGTTTTTTGAGTAGAAGGCAGGCTGAAAATTTGGTTGGATAGGATATTGAAGGTTGTATTTGATTCTAAGACATATGCAATGATATATCCTAGAGTAAGATTTGGCTTCCTCCTATGTCCTGGATCTCGAATAGTGGTCAGATGCTCAATGTAGGGAAAGATCAAATTTATGGAATTGAACTCTCGATGAGCCAAAATATAAAAAGTAGTGATCGAAAGAAGATGAGTGATATGAATGCAATCACCTTCTTTAGGAAGAATTGAGGTGCGAAGGACATGCTGGATTGTCCTAGCATCTTTGAGTAAGGTGCTAGACTCTCCAATGTAAAAGTGAGCATTAGTATTTCTAAGAAAATGGTTGGACTGAGCCCAATTGTAATCAGGATCAGAACAGAGGATATGGAGTTTATCTCCTATGGTGGAAAGTTGTAAAAGTTCTGCATAGTCCTGATATGTGGTCTCAACAGGGAATCAATTCATATAGGACCCGAGAGTAGTGAAAGAAGAATTAATGTGGAGGCTGGAAAAAAATTAAAAAAAAAAAAGCTCGAAGTTGAAGGGGACAGAGAGAGTAAGGATAAAACACAAGAAGGTTTGAGCAAAGAGATTAATACTAGATATAAGAGAATATTCGGGTTGACAGATCTGGAAATAGTGATTCCAACGATCTTGATTTTTGGTAGGCGGCTTGATTGTCTACCTCGATGAATCGAGGGTCCAGAGTTGCCCTTTAGGAACTCCTAGAAGGATGGTGAGATCACTTTCCTTCGGCTATTATCAAAAAATAGAGCACAAGAGTAAGAGCACAAGGGGATTTGAGAAGGTTCGAGTGATAAAAAAATATTTGAAAGGCTCAATTTATAAAGAATCAGCCCGATCGTCTAGGATGATCATAGAATCGTTCAAGATGATATAATACAATAATTGCGTCGGGGACGATTAGTTCAAAAGGAGGTAAAATTGTTCGGGCATAAGAAAAAGAAATCCGTTCAAGACTTGGTTTCAAAAAAATATTTTATACAATAATATATCAAAGTAATTAGTTATAATTATGAATTTTGAAATCAAGCCTTTGAAAAATATCAAGCGACACATGAATTCTTTTAAGATTTAAAAATTTTGAAAGAGAAGAAGCTTGCGTTTGGTGGGCTCATTTTATACGTCTTGTCAATTTGATTGGTGCTCTTTGCGCATCTTTTGATTTTCGATACACTTTATGTATATATATTTTTAATTTGGTATTATTGCACATCTTTTGATTTTGGCATTATTGTCAATTTTTTTTTCATTATTGAACACCACTCAACAAATCGGATAACATCCCTCCGCATATGCGGCCAAAAGAATATGGTTTGTAATTGAGCCAATGTATTATCTCTACCGGCATGAGCAGCTAAACCACCACCATGAATCTCTTTTATGATTTATTGCCACCACGAAGATTTGGGAATGCATAGTAAATTTCCTTTGAAAAGAAAACTGTGCCTTATAAAATAGTCTTCTATATGTTCACGTTGGATGCATTTATGCCAAATAGAACCAAAATCTGCATCATCTGGGTAAAGTTCTCCCAAATCGCCCAACCCAATAAATTCAGTTTGGAGTTTTGTGATTAAAGCTGACCGCCTGCTCAAAGCATCCGCGACTCGATTCTGTTTTCCACTTTTATGTTTTAACACAAAAGTAAATTTATGTAGGAATAATATCCACCGGGCATGCATTATGCTAATGTTCTTTTGGGTATTGATGTACTGCAATGCCTTGAGATCGTTGCAAAGTACAAAATCCTATTGGAGCAAGTAAGATTCCCACTGTCTAAGTGCTTTGACCACATCATACAACTCTTGTTCATAAACGGTCCACCGTTGCCTCGGAACACTTAATTTTTCACTGAAAAATTCAATGGGTCTATCTTCTTGAGACAACACGGCCCCAATCCCAACAGTAGAAGCATCTGACTCCACCAAGAATGGCTTATCAAAGTTCGGCAATGCAAGCACAGGTGCCGAAGTTAATGCCTCATTGATGCTCTCAAAACTATTTTGATGATCCTCACCCCATGAGAATTTTTTTAATTTTAGGATATCCGTTATCGGTGCCATCAATATACTAAAACCTTTAATGAATTTTCGATAAAAATTTGCCATCCCATGAAAACTACAGATATCAGTGAATGTCTGCGGGATGGGCCATTCTTTAACAACTTTGATCTTGGATGGTTCGACGCTTATGCCATCACCAGAAATTCGGAAGCCCAGGAATGAGACCAACTGAGTAGCAAATTCACATTTTGCAATATTTAAATACAACTTATTTTTCCTCAATGCTTCTAGAATTTCTGTCAAATGCTTAAAATGGTCTCCAAAATTGGTACTAAAAACTAGTATATCATCAAAATATGCGACACGACAACGATTTAAGAAAGGCTTAAGAACCTCATTCATTAGTCGCATGAAAGTGGCCGGAGCATTACATAACCCGAACGACATCACTTTCCACTCGTATAGGCCCTCACGTGTTTTAAAAGCTGTTTTCCACTTGTCACCCGGTCTTATTCGGATTTGATGATAACCACTGCGAAGATCTAATTTAGAGAAAATTTTTGAGCCAGCTAGCCTCCTATCATTTCTTCCATTCTCGGCATAGGAAATCTGAACTTAACCATGATCTTATTAATTGCTCGACTATCCATGCACATCCTCCAATTTCCATCTTTCTTGGGTACCAACAAGATCGGTACAGCGCAAGGGCTCAGACTATGTTGAACTAGCTGTTTGTCCAAAAGTTCGTCTACTATCTGCTGCAGAATTTTGTTTTCATTTGGACTAAGCTTATAGTGCGGTAAATCTGGCAACGAAACACCCGGTAAGAAATCTATCTGATGCTGAATGGTCTACATGGGAGGCAATTCCACTGGTTGGTTCTCTGAACAAACATCTGCATAATGCTCCAGCAGCTTTTGCAACTCTTCTGGATGGTTGACAGCAGGTGCACTTTCAGCTACTTCCTTAACTATTAGAGCCAATATGCTGGAGGTTTCCTTCCACGCATTTAGCATCACAGAAATCGAAATAGAATGCAAAGCGATTTTATTCTTTGGAAGGTTGTGCTCCTGTCCAGAATTAGATGGCAGCAACCGCAAACGCCTTCCCTTCCAATCAAATGCATAAGTGTTGGCTCGACCATCGTAAATGGCTCCCACGTCATACTGCCATGGCCTACCCAGAATAATATGACACACGTCCATTTCTAGCACATTGCATAAGGCCTCGCTTGCATAGTGCTTCCCAATAGAAAATGATACACAGTATAAATCAGTCACAACAATCTCCATTCCCTTTTTAACCCAACTGATTTTGTATGGGTTAGAATTTTTTGTTGTTTTGAGCCCCAAGGCTTGAACCATTGCACGAGACACCACATTCTCCGTGCATCCACTGTCTATCAACAAATCGCATGTCTTCCCGCTAACCGTGCACTTAGTCCTGAATAGAACATTACGCTGGGATGGGTTGGATTGCCTCGGCGCCAAAAGCAGTTTTTCCAACACGCAGACGAGAGGTTCGCCATCATCCCCCAACACATCTTCCTGCGAATTATCACCATCCGCTTCATTTTCATATGGTTCTACCTCAGCCTCCGCTTCTACCAATTGTAATTGCGGCTTTGACGGACACTCGTTGGACTTGTGTCCTTGTTGAAAACACCGGAAGCACTTAATATTATTATTCCTGGCATATGGATTCTCTTTGCTAATTGCCTTACTCTTTTGCATTCCACTTTGCTCTGCATTTCTATTAGTTCCGCCAACAGGGTTGCCAGTAGTGGGACTCGGAGATGGTTGATTGCTCTTTTGTGATGCCACTGTTTTAGACATCCTGCTATGATCCACTACAGCTTCTGAATTTCTTCTATATTGGCCACCTCGAGTGTGTCTGAGCATTTGTAATTCAACCTTCAACGCATAGTTGACGGCTTGAGAAAGCAACCATATCTCATTTAATTGCAATTTGTCTTGTATAGCTTCCCGCAATCCTCCAATGTATCTAGCCACCAGTTGATTTGTCGATTCATTTAGATTGTTGCGAGCACTTAAGCGATAAAACTCTTCGGTATAATCATTAACGGACCTACTACCTTGAACACAATGTTGGTATTGAACATACAACATTTGTTCATAACCCGTTGGCAGATAATGCCCCCGCAAAAGTTGCTTCATCCGATGCTAACTGCGCACTTGCCCCCGTCCTTCTCGCAGCCGTGTCTGCAGGTCCTGTTGCCACCAGGCACTAGCTACCCCCTTCAATCTACAAGCGACATATTTAACCTGCTTTTCAGAAGCAATGTCCATATATTCGAAGAATGTTTCAACGAACCTCTCCCAATCTAAGAAGTCATCAATATGCAATTTGCCATCAAAATACGGTATGTCTAGCTTGACTTTAAATTCACTGTGAGTCCGATTTGTTTCCCTCGGCCGCCTACGACGATGAATGGTAGCGTCGACTTCAGAATCAGAATCGTCAGGCTCTTCGAAACGGTCTAGCTCTCCTTCGGACTCCGACGCCTCAATGATTTGTGATCCTCTTTGCTGTCTCCGCCCATTTCCATTCCTTTGTCTCAATGCCAGTTCCGGTGGAATTACTGTCCTGGTGTTCTGGAACCTCTCTAGCTTGAGATTAATCTCCCTCAGTTCCTGCCACACTTCCCCGAAGATCCTGTGGACATCCGCCGCCAGTTCGTCGGTTTGTTAGGCCAGTTGATTGTGCTCACTCGAAAGAGCTTCAAGGTTGTTGTCGACCCTGGGAGCCACCCGCCTGCTGCTTTCAGCCATCTAGCTCTGATACCAATACTGATGTAGGATCCTGCACTAGAAAAACTCAAGCAAACAGAATTTAAGGCAATAGAACAGTACCTGTTCTAACTCTGCACTTGGAAGCATAATTTTAGTTCATAAGCAGAAAAACTAAGTAATCCCTACTGGAACTTGGCTATCTAATTCCTTCAACACGAAGGACTAAAACGGCTAATCAAGCAAAAAGCAAACCATGTGCTGTGCTTAAAAAAAGAGCAAAATAAATAGTGGCGTTGGTCCAGTTAACAGCAAGACCAGAGTAAGCACCAATAAGTTGTGCCTCAGGCTTCCTTGGCTAATTATGCTCCGCATCACTTCGTGTTTTGGAGTCCGAGCTTAGTGGAGGCCAGCCAGGTGTTCGGTTTGGGAGTGTGAGTGGCTTGGGCTTTCACGGTTTGGAGGAGGCTAGAAGCTTTTTTCGGTACAGTGAGTGGGATCTGTAGGTGGAACCGGATGCTGCATGAGGTTAATCGGCCTGAGAAGTAGATGCGAACAGGAAGGTGACGGAAGTTCTGGCTTGTGTGTTTGGAAAACAATCGTCATAGTAAAAGGTAGGAGGCGTTGGGACGGGTTTGCTTGGGACGTTTAGCGTGAGGCAGGTGACGTAGGGGAGAAATAGAACTTTGGCTTCTTCTTTGCTTGGAGGAGGAGGTTTGGCTCATGAAGGAGTTTTCGTTTGAGTGGGAGAAGGCAGGTTTGTCTTAGAGCAGGCGTGAGAAACAGGTAAGGCTAGTAAGAGAGTTGCTTGCTAAATGGAAGGAATCTGACCAAGTGGGTGCTGGATGGAGGATTTATCTTGAAAAGATTAAGAAAGATAAGGCTTTAAAATCAAATTCTGCTGCCTTTCTCTTGGAATCAAATGAGAGTGGAGAAAAGTCTCCCTTTTCTGTGAAGCCGTAAGCCTGAGAGGAGGAAGGAGGGATTTGGACGGAGTGGAGGTTGGATTCTCAGCAGAGCAAGAGGTGCTGTTTTTGGCCTATCTCCCCAAGAGAAGAGGTGATCTTCTTGCTTTAACATAAAGAAGACGTAGCAATCAAAAGGGGTCTGAGCGGCTCTGACAAAAAGAAATATTTTGCATTTAATTTGATTTCAACTTTGCATTTTACTTTTCCATTTTTGCTAATTGAATTAAAAACATTAATGATATGTCACTATTACATTAATTCGAGATGACACAAATGTATCAATCATTCCAAGGCCGTCTCGAACACAGCTCACCTTGACTTATTGGTTGAGAGCTTATGCTTCCAACTAAGAGGTCTTGGGTTACATTAATTCGAGATGACACAAATGTATCAATCATTCCAAGGCCGTTTTGAACACAGCTCACATTGGCTTGTTGGTTGAGAGCTTATGCTTCCAACTAAGAGGTCTTGGGTTTGAGTCTTTGTATTTGCGTTGTCTGTGTGAGTTTGACTTAATTGGCCTAAATGTCCCAAAAAAAAAAGTCGTCTCGTTTGTATGATTCTTCGATTTACGTGAAGTTTTCCTCATTTTACGTGTCAATCTCGTCGAACAATCATAATTGAATAATTTAATAGTGTATTTAGGGTATTAACGATGCTCCGGTCTCAACGACATAGTCCGTTTCGCAATCGGACGTCGTTTTGGCAACGATGAGGCCTAATTACCTTTGTAATGCATGTCTTCGCATTATATTCGAATCGCCTCGGGATTTATTCCACCACTTCAATTGATCCAAATTGATTAAATAAAATATATATTCTTAATGTTGGCTACGTTCCAGACATAATGGCGCTATCCGTTTATTTATCCGACATTGTGTCGTCTCCAACGAGGCTAATTTCTCTTGTAATGCTTGCTTTCACATCATATTTGGATTGCCTTTGAAATTTGCGACACCACCTCAAACGATTCAATTTTATTAAATAAAATATATATTCTGAATGTCGACGACATTCCGGACGTAATGGCTCTGTCCGTTGATCAATTGGACGTCGTTCGAGCGTCGACGATGCCTCATTTCGTCGTAACGCATGTCTTCACATCATATTTGAATCGCCTACAAATTCAACACATCTAATATGATCCAGATTAAATAAAATGCATATTCTGAATGTCGACGACGTTCCGGAAGCAATGGAGCTGTCCGCTTGTCGATCGGACGTCATCCGAGCATCTTCGAGGCCTTGTTTCCGTCGTAATGCAGGCATTCATATCATATTTGCATCACCTAAAAATTCACCACTATCTCAGATGATCCAAATTTATCAAATAAAATATATTTTCTGAATGTCGACGACGTTCCGGACGCAATGGCGTTCTCTGTTGATCAATTGGACGTCGTTCGAGCGTCGACGAGGCCTCGTTTCCGTCGTAACGCATGCCTTCACATCATATTTAGATCCCCTACAAATTCACCATCATCTCAGATGATTCAGATTTATTAAATAAAATGTATATTTTGAATGTCGACGACGTTCTGGACGCAATGGAGCTGTTCGCTTGTCGACCGGACGTCGTCCGAGCATCTTCGAGGCCTTGTTTCCGTCGTAACGCAGGCATTTATATCATATTTGCATCACCTAAAAATTCACCACAATTTCAGATGATCCAAATTTATCAAATAAAATATATTTTCTGAATGTCGACGACGTTCCGGACGCAATGGCGTTGTCCGTTGATCGATTAGACGTCGTTCGACCGTCGACTAGGGCTCATTTCCGTCGTAACGCATGCCTTCGCATCATATTTGGATCGCCTACAAATTCACCACCATCTCAGATGATTCAGATTTATTAAATAAAATGTATATTCTGAATGTCGACGATGTTCCGGATGCAATGGGGCTGTCTGTTTATCAATCGGACGTCGTTCGAATATCGTCGAGGCCTCATTTCCCTCGTAATGCAGGCCATAATTCTAATATGATCTAGATTAAATAAAATGCATATTCTGAATGTTGACGACGTTCCGGACGCAATGGAGGTGTCCGCTTATCGATCGGATGTCGTCCGAGCATCTTCGAGGCCTTGTTTCCGTCGTAACGCAGGCATTTATATCATATTTGCATCACCTAAAAAATCACCACTATCTCAGATGATCTAAATTTATCAAATAAAATGTATTTTCTGAATGTCGATGACGTTCCGGACGTAATGGCGTTGTCTGTTGATCAATTGGACGTCGTTCGAGCGTCGACGATGCCTCGTTTCCGTCGTAACGCATGCCTTCACATCATATTTGGATCGCCTACAAATTCACCACCATCTCACATGATCCAGATTTATTAAATAAAATGTATATTCTAAATGTCGACGACATTCCGGATGTAATGGAGCTGTCCGCTTGTTGATCGGACGTCGTCCGAGCATCTTCGAGGCCTTGATTCCGTCGTAACGCATGCATTTATATCATATTTGCATCACCTAAAAATTCACCACCATTTCAGATGATCCAAATTTATCAAATAAAATATATTTTCTGAATGTTGACGACGTTCCGGACGCAATGGCGTTGTCCGTTGATCGATTGGACGTCGTTCGAACGTCGACTAAGCCTCGTTTCCGTCGTAACGCATGCCTTCACATCATATTTGGATCGCCTACAAATTCACCACCATCTCAGATGATTCAGATTTATTAAATAAAATGTATATTCTGAATGTTGACGATGTTCCGGATGCAAAGGGGCTGTCCGTTTATCAATCGGACGTCGTTCGAATATCGTCGAGGCCTCATTTCCATCGTAATGCAGGCCTTAATATCATATTTACATCGCCTAGAAATTCACCAACATCTCAGATGATCCAAATTTATTAAATGAAATATATATTCTGAATGTAGACGACGTTCCGGACGTAATGACAATATCTGTTTGTCGATCAGACGTTGTTCGTGCGTTTAAGGCCTGATTTCCTCGAAATGCGCGTTGTCTCGAAATTCATGTCACTCATTAGGATGATGAAAATTGAACAAATAAAATACAGTTTTTATAGGTTGTCAACATTATGGACGCAACGATGAAGTCTGTTCATCGATATGGGATCATTTGATCAGTCTCGGGCTTTAATTTCGGGTGTCGGTCGTCCCTTTTGATCGATCTCGTTTGATTAAATTGCGAGGGGCCTCGACCCAACAGAGTTCAGTGTCCTGATCGCAAAGATACCATCCATTTGACATTCGGAAGTCATTTGACCCTTCAAATGATGTGTTGTATCAACCCATGCGCTGCTCAATCCGCCACTTTTATTCTTTTTGCGTGTAGTTTAAGGTATAGGGGTCAACACACGTCACAAATCTAATAGTATTATATGAGTCAAACATCATTATTATCATACAATGCTCAACGGATCCTATATTAAGAAACCTGATTTAACTTTTGAATAATTGAGTCGTTCACCATCTTTGACATTCAAGCAATATTCAAATGCTGCATTACGAAAAACCAGCTTTTCAGACAGCAATAGTGTTTGGATGTTTTTGTTATGTTTGCTTTCAACATCCATTTCTACACTGCGAGTAGAAAGAACATAAGAAGGATAATTGTTCTCCTGTTGGCCTATGGTGGCAAGAAAATGACTATGGTCCCTAGAAAATGACGAGGCACCTTACAGGCTTAGAAAACTTCAGCTCCAAATAAAGCTTCAATATAATAAGCTAAAATTTAAATGTTCCTCTAATAATTTCTCATAGCATAATTGGTATAATTAATGGTGGTCCATCTTTCTTACTCTCTCTTTCTTGGCAAATTATTACGTCCAGTCACCGGACCTAGAAATAGGTCCGGATATCCTCTAAAAATTTGACGCATGGAATATACACGTGTTCGTGGAATTTTAAGTCAAGCGCCCTAAAAGCGCAGGTAAAGCACAGAGAAAGCGCAGTCAAAGCTCACCCAAAGCGCACCTAAAGCGTAGTCAAAGCGCACAGTCAAAATGCGGTCCACGTGGCAACTTTTTAGTGGATATCCGGACCTATTTTCTAGGTCCGGTGACCGTACGTAACAATTTGCCCTCTTTCCTTGCTTGATCTGTCAGCCCAGGCTGGACGGGTCACTAATACACAAAATAATATATTAATATAGCGAACATCTCTATATATTAAGACATACTACATTCATATTCCTTTCTTCTCCTTGAACAGATCTGTAACTTCATTTTCTTCATCTTAACAACTTAAGACAAATTTTTTTACTAGATATGTATTATCGCGATTTATATTGTAGTCAGAAACAAAGAGCAAATTCACCCTAAAAAGCTCAAAAATAAGGCCAACCAATCGCATCCAGATGAAGCATCCCTTTAAGAAGATTAAGGACATCTAACAGATCAATAAATTTAGGATTACAGCTCAAAAAGCCAAGACCAGCAAGCCAAACAGCAGGCCACTTAGCCCTCATATTAATGGTAGAAACTATATAAACCAAATTATAAAGGATAACATCAATTTTATGAACCAAATAAAAACAATGCAAATGAATCTCTTATCCATCTTGATAATATCAACCCCCTCTTCAATATCAACTTCAATCTAGGAAAGATCATCATCCAATCATCAAATCTATTAATTTGACTTATAGCATTAATAAAATTCAAAATACTAGAGGCTTTAAAATCAATAAGAATGTTTAAACCATTCTGGAATTAGTTTCAAACCTTTGTAGCCATAGAGCCATCTATAAAAATATGATTAATAGTTTCAAGATTATAGCAACATTGACATTTAGAAACAAGAGTAAAACCTTTCTGTTGAAGTCTAACGTCGACCGGAATGAATCCCTTGAGGATTCTCCGAGCTAATAAAGAAAACTTGAGAGGAATATTGGACTTCCAAATTCTAGCAAAAGTAACATTAAAATCATTGATGTTTTTAATATAATGCCAAGTTTTGGTCGAGCTAAAGACAGCATTATAAGAAAGCTTTGATAAAATTTGATCCTTCGAATGAGGGTTAATAGGAATGTCATAAATGATATTAATCAAACATTGAGGAAGACACTGAAGAAGATGCTCCATGGACCACCTACCATTATTAATAAAATTAGAGACTTTTAAAGATGAGATAGAAGAAGAATTAAAATAGGAGTCAATAGAACTAACTTCTAACCAATCATCTTGCCCAAAAAAAGAATTATCACTTTGAATACCCCACTAAATCATAGGTTCAGCCAACCATTTAATATTACAAAGCCTTTTCCAACCCGGATAATGACCTTGCTTAAAAAAATAAAGAGTAGGATGAATATCTTGACTATATTTCTCATGCATATAATTGGCCCACAGAGAAGGCTACATGAATCTTTTTTCTCCATCGTGTTCTATTGAGGGTCAAATTCTTATTTAAAGCTAATAAAAAGGTTCCTTTCTAATATTTCATGCAATTGCCCCCCCCCAGATACCATCCATTTGACATTCGGAAGTCATTTGACCCTTCAAATGATGTGTTGTATCAACCCATGCGCTGCTCAATCCGCCACTTTTATTCTTTTTGCGTGTAGTTTAAGGTATAGGGGTCAACACACGTCACAAATCTAATAGTATTATATGAGTCAAACATCATTATTATCATACAATGCTCAACGGATCCTATATTAAGAAACCTGATTTAACTTTTGAATAATTGAGTCGTTCACCATCTTTGACATTCAAGCAATATTCAAATGCTGCATTACGAAAAACCAGCTTTTCAGACAGCAATAGTGTTTGGATGTTTTTGTTATGTTTGCTTTCAACATCCATTTCTACACTGCTAGTAGAAAGAACACAAGAAGGAATGAAGGATAATTGTTCTCCTGTTGGCCTATGGTCCCTAGAAAATGTCGAGGCACCTTACAGGCTTAGAAAACTTCAGCTCCAAATAAAGCTTCAATATAATAAGCTAAAATTTAAATGTTCCTATAATAATTTGTCATAGCATAATTGGTATAATTAATGGTGGTCCATCTTTCTTACTCTCTCTTTCTTGGCAAATTATTACTTCCGGTCACCGGACTTAGAAATAGGTTCGAATATCCTCTAAAAATTTGAAGCGTGGAATGTACACGTGTCCGCAGAATTTTAAGTCAAGCGCGCCAAAAGCACAGGTAAAGCGCAGTCCGTGGACCACCTACCATTATTAATAAAATTAGAGACTTTTAAAGATGAGATAGAATAAGAATTAAAATAGTTGTCAATAGAACCAACTCCTAACCAATCATCTTGCCCAAAAAAGAATTATCACTTTGAATATCCCACTAAATCGTAGGTTCAGTCAACCATTTAATATTACAAAGCCTTTTCCAACCCAGAGAATGACCATGCTTAAAAAAATAAATAATAGGATGAACATCTTGACAATATTTCTTATGCATATAATTGGCCCGCAGAGAATACTACATAAATCTTTTTTCTCCATTGTGTACTGTTTGATAGCCAAATGCTCATTTAAATATAATAAGAATATGTTCAATTCTAATATTTTCTAACAATGTTCTTTATGTTTATCTCTATTTTTCTTAACTGGGCCAAATCTAATCCATCAACTCTGCTAATTGGGGCATGGAAAAAAATTACGGGAGAATATACTGACATAATTCACTGCAAGCTGGGCTCACGTGATGTTAGAGTTACATTTAAGAATAGTGCAATTTATGATATAATATATAAGTATTAATTTTAACCAAATCAAAGAACTCTTATGCTAATTGTAACATCAATTGCGTTAATCTATCCTAATATTTTTCATTTGAAAAATCCTGAATTTTCATTCAGTTCGAAACCAATTAGAGTTAGAATAAAGCTTCATTTGGGACAGCTTTTTTACTGCTTAAAAAAGCTTTCGAGTACAAAAAAATTTACTTTTGTATTAGAAAGCTGCTTTAATAAACAGTAAGAAAGTAGTCCCAAATAAAGCAAATAGTTACTTAGCGAACTTAGACTTGGTTGGAATGACTTTCTTATTGATTCTTAAAGCCGTTTTCTAGATAAAAAATAAAAAATCATTCAAGTTAAATTATTATAAGAAACTACTAACCTGGTGCAAATCCAATCCCCGGACTTCCACAGCTTGAGCTCCGACGCCATTAATGGCGGCAGCTCCATTTTTAAAGCTTCCACACTTGAAGCGGCTAAAAAGTTGTGGACCCAGCAGAAGCAATACCAGTCGCCCGATTAATAATTTTAATATTTATAATATCATCTAGTTCAACCCACTATTCAACTGCTAATTAAATAATTCTATCGTAAACATCTGGAGTTTCCAAAGCCTTGATAAGGATAAAACATACTGAGATAAACTTGGTTTTTCCCTTCTGGAACAAAATCAATAACTATTGAGCATTATTTTAAATCCTAACGGTCAACATATTTTCTGCTAATATATTTCCACCACATAATTTATGAGGCATCGAAGATAAAAATGGTTCGCCAACTTATAAATATTTTTCTCATTTTTTTCATGACATTCAGATTTTAATTTTATGAATTATGACTTTCAGATATTTGATCATAAAAATTCAACTCTTATGCTAAATTAAAGTTAATGGGATAAATAATTTCAAGGAGTTCTTAGATCATATGATAATTAATTCTATAAAATTTTAAAAGATAGCTTCAATTGCAAAAAAATACATTTTATATTACAAACAACTAAGTGAGCTCTAAGTAATATTGAAATTTAATGAATTATTATCCTTTGTAGGTTTTGAAACCGCTTGTTTTGTGTGAACGAAAAAAGTACTCTTAGAAGATAGATTAAGGCTTTGTTTTGAACGGCTTTCTTACCACATCTTAAACTAGCTTTCTAACACAAAAATTTTAATTTTTATACTAGAAAGCTTATTTAAGAAGCAGTAAAAAAGCCGACTCATATGAAGCCTAAGGCTTCGTTTGGGACAATTTTCTGACCGCTTTCTAAAATAACTTTCTAGTACAAAAAATTCATTAGTTATAAATTTTGTACCAAAAAACTGTTTTATAAAGAAGTAAGAAATTTGTCCCAAACAAAGTCTAAGTAGTTGATAAAGTATTCATATAATTTTTTTTTCAACATTTAAAGAATTAATACTCATGTTCCAGTGCTTCTCATGGCATAATCCTCAATGATTAATAGATCCTTATGATCAGGACATAGAACGACTTTCAATTCTGAGAATGACCGGGTTATTGATCTTATTCATGATAGAGAGGAGCCTTCAGTGGAGGTAGAGGAATTGCCTCTTCAGGAGAATCCTCTTTTGGTCCTAACCGAAAGTGGGAAGAATTTAAATGAAGGCATTGAGAGGGATTTGACTACTTTAGAAGATGATGTTTTCTTTGTGGATGGTGAGCAGCCTACTCCTAAGGGGCCTTCTGGTAACCTAAATGATAGAACCATTCTTTTATCTGATATTTATCATTGTGATGCTTATACTGATACGGAAGTTGATATTTTGGCTAGATGTTATGCTAGAGAAGACCATGACTTGAGTTTCTCTAAGGGTCGTGATAAATGTGGTAGGAAACCCAAAAATATTATTTTACAATCCCCTAGAAGCACTCAATCGCATACTTCTCATTAATTGTGTTTTTTATGTTTAACACCATTATTTGGAACGTGCGGGCGGGGTATTGGTTGCCCCTCTTCTAAGCTTAGAGTTAAAAATTTATGTCGTATTCATAATGTTTCTATTATTGTTTTGCTTGAACCGCTTATTTCTATGGAAAAATTAACTAGTACTACTATATTTCTGGGTTTTAATAACGCTAAGTCGAATGTTACCAGTAAAATTTGGATTTTTTGAAAATATTTTGTTAGAATTGATGTCATTAGTGATTTTGCCCAGGTTTTACATTGCAATATTGAAGTTCTAATTTCCAATGTTGTGAGTCTTTTGTTTATGCTGCTTCTTCTCGTTATACTAGGAGGATTTTGTGGGATAAAATTTTAAATTTCCATAATATCTACAATCTTCCTTGGCTTGTCGGTGGTGATTTTAACATGATTACCAGCCCAATTGAGCGTATAGGGGGTTCTTTTCCTATATGTCAGTCGATGGAGGATTTTAATGATATGATCATGACTTGCAACCTTATTGATATTGGTTTTTCTGATAACAATTTCACTTGGTATCGTGGGCAATTATGGCAAAGGCTGGATATAGTTCTTTTTAGTAATACTTGGCTTAACGCTTTTAACTTGACTAAGGTTGAACATTTGAGCCGTACCCTCTCTAATCAGTCTCTTCTGCTTATCAATATTAAGAATGATACCAAGAGCTTTCCTTATCAGTTTAGATTTCAGAATATGTGGTTGCAACATGAGTCTTTTCTTGAGGTTGTCCAAAACAATTGGCATGCTCCTCTTTTTCCTAATGATTCTATTTCTTGTATGAAAAGACTTTGGCTCAAATTGAAAAGGCTTAAGCAAGTGTTGAACTGGTGGAATCATAATGTTTTTAAAGATTTGTTTACTAATATTTTACTTGCTGAAGACAAGATTAACTCCTTTGAGGATCTTTGTCAGTCGGAACCCTCTGAGTCTAATCTTTGTCTTTTGAATGAGGCTAAAGTGGATCTTTCTAAGCTTCATGTTCAGGAAGAAATTTTTTGGAAACAGAAATCTACCGCCAAGCATTTGGTGGAAGGTGATAATGATACTAAATATTTTCATGCTTTAGTGAATAAGAAATGTTCTATTAACTGTGTATTCATAAAATTTCTCGTAAGGATGGTTCTACTACGGAGGATAGAGATGAGATTGCTAACCTGGCTGTTAATTTTTTTCATAAGCATCTTAATAAATCTTTTAATCCAATTTCTATTTCTAATCCTTCCTTTATTCCTAATATTATTTCTCAAGAGGAAAATTGTGGCTTATCTAAGCCTCCTCTTCTTGAGGAGATTAAAGAGACCTTATTTGATATGAATGTGGATTATATGGTTGGGCCTGATGGATTTACTACTAAGTTTTTTCCAAAAAATTTGGTCAATTATTTTTAATGACATTTTCTCTACTATCACTGATTTATTTAATGGTTCTCTGATTTCTAAGTTTTTTTCTTCTACTTCTATTATTCTTATTCCTAAGAACAACGCTGTGAATTCTTGGAATGATTTTAGACTCGTATGCCTGTGCACTATTTTTTATAAACTTCTCTCTAAAATCCTGATGAACTGGTTAATTGTTTTATTTCCTAAGCTTATATTTCCTTTTCAAATGGGTTTTGTCAAAGGTTGTGCCATTGCTGATAATATCCTTTTGGCTCAAGAGTTTTGTCAGGACTTGGATATCAAGGTAAAAGGTGGTAACATGATTATGAAATTGGATATTGCTAAGGCTTATGATAATATTAACTGGAGTTTTATTTATAAGATGTTGAGCTTTTTTTGCTTTCATAAATCTCATCAAATCTTGTATTGAAAGTTCTTTCTTCTCCATTATTGTGAATGGTAAGAGCCATGGTTACTTTAAGGCTTCTCATGGCCTGAGACAAAGTGATCCCATTTCTCCGACGATCTTTATTATTGCTGTGGATTATCTTTCTAGGGGCTTGGCTGATCTTTTCTACAAATGCCCTAGTCTTTATTTCAAAACTTTAGGTGGTATTAATATCTCCCATTTATATTTTGCAGATGATTTCATTGTGTTTTCGAATGCTTCAATGAATAGGATTGGTAAATTTTTCAGTTTTTTTGGCCATTTTGAATCGGTTAGTGGTTTGGCCTTTAAGAAGCATAAGTGTTGCTTTATTGTTTCTAAGAATGTTTCGAGTTGTGGAAATTAAGAATCTTATTGGTTTTACTCAAGGTGATTTGCCTTTAAAATATCTGGGCATTCCTCTTTTTAAGAGTAGAAATTGGTCTTTTCTTTTTTATGATTTAATTTCTGTGGTTTAGAATATATTTTCTTCTTGGGATTCTAATTTTTTAAGCTTTGGTGGCCGTCTCACTCTTATTAAAAGTGTTCTTTGCTCTATTTCTGTCTATAGTTTTCAAACTCTTTTTCCTACTAAGATTTTCTGTCTTAGAATTGACAGAATTTTGAATAAATTTTTTGGAAAGGTACCGGGAATAACTCTAAGATTCATTGGAGATCTTAGGGTTATTGTTGTGGTACTCTGCAAGAAAGGGATTTAGGGTGTAAGACTATGGTTGATATGGCTTCTACTTTTTCTTTCAAGCTGTGGTTTAACCTTATGTCTAATGTGAGCATTTGGGCCAATTTTATAAGGGCCAAATATTGTGGGGGGAGGCATCCTTCCATGTGTAGCTTTTTTAAAGGCCAATCTAAAGTTTGGCATCGGATTTGTTTGGTTAAATGGAAGGTGGAGTCTGCTTTATCTTGGGGTCTTCGTAATGGGAACATTTTCTTTTGGCAAGATAGGTGGATTAATGGTCATTCGATTGATTCTTTATTAAACGCATTTTCTATTTCTAAGGTGAAGGTTAATTATTTCTTTTTTTCTAATGGTTGGGATTTGGAGAAGCTGTCAGCTGTTCTCCCTGATGGCATTATTCAGCTTGTTTTAAAGATTCCTATTAATAGCAATTCGAAGGATGTGTTACTTTACTCTTGTCCTAAAGATGGTTCCTTCAGTATTAAGCATGTTTGACATTTTTCAGAACTAAAAAGGAGACTTCTTAGCTTTTTTAAATGATTTGGCACAAAAGCATTCCCTCTACAGTTTCTGCTTTTATGTAGAGAATTCTTCATAGGCTTATTCCTACTGATGAGAATTTGAGAAATAGAGGTTTTACCTTTCCCTCCAAATGCCAATGTTGTTTCCATGTTGACAATATGCATCATGTTTTTATCTCTGGTCCCATTGCTGTTAAGGTTTGGACCTTTTTTGAGGACTTGTTTCAACTTAACTTATATGATACTTCTAGTTCTATTTATCAATTGCTTGACCATTGGTTTGTTAAGTCTAAAGGTCATGTTAGAAATGTTATTTCCTCTCTTATCTTTTGGTTCCTTTGGTTGGAGAAGAATGACTCACATTTCAATGCGGTTGTTATGAATCATCAGAGAATCATCCATAAAATTAAGGATAAAGTGACTACTCTTTATTCTGCCAATTTGCTCTCTATGAAGAATTTTAAGA